TTGCTCTTCCTTGCGCTACACCCCACAGCCTGGAGTTCCCCCGGTACCTACCTGCCCCATTCCTTCTGCAAAGCTCTGTGGACATGGAGGGCCAAGCCCGTGTTCCCAGGTTCACCCTCATGTCCTCAGCGTTACTATACTGCTTGGCATTAAAGAAGATCAGGGGATGCCGTGTCAAAATATGCCAAAATACGTCATAATAGTTACTTTTGAGCTGAGGACAGTCAAGCAGCAGCAGAGACAACTCACCTATTCTGCTTTTCTAACTAATGGGGACATATGCGTTCTCCTCTAGCACTGACTATTCTAGACTCATACCCCAGTGCCGGCAAGAAGGCACCTGAAAGCAAACCCGTGTGCACTTGGTCTCCTCCATATGCTTACCTTGCCACTGTTTCCCACCTTTGGAAGCCTACCATGGTCAGCCTTGGCTCGTCTCTCTCTCCAGACTTATTATTCTTTGTTGAAGATGCTATACCAGAGGCCAAGGAAATGGCCCAGTAGGTAAGAGTGCTGGCTATTCAAGCATGAGGACATGAATTTGAATCTCAATCACCACATAAAAGACATCTGTGGCTTTGGGTGACTATAAACCCAGCATCAGGGAACAGAGAGGAACAGATCCCAGGAAAGCCAGATAAAACATCAAACTTCTGGCTCAGTGAAAGATTCTGTCTCACACTAATGAGGCAGAAAGTGATAGAGGAAGATACTCCATGCCCTCTCTGACCTCTTCATGCTCTCCTGTGATTATGTGCATCTTCACATTCATGCACATGCTATATATATATATATATATATATATATATATATATAGCACACACAAATACACATTTTTATATTTAAATTTTATATTTAGTGTGTTGCACACTAATATATTTGTGTGTGTGTGTGTGTGTGTGTGTTTCTCTTGTTAATTTGCTTTTGTTGTAGGGATTCTAACTAGGAATTGAGATGGCAGAGGGAATCTTTAGTCTTCCCCAAAGCCTGTGGTACATCCATAACAACCACTCATTAACAAGATACTGTGTGGGTGGACCTGACCTTCCTAAATCATAAGTGCTGAATATAGACAACTTCAGTGCTGAACACAACTACTGCTAATAATAATGGGGCAAGGGAAGTTTGCATGGCTCTGAGTTATATTTCTTGGAACGTTTCTGTAAATCCAACATCTGCTGGATGACACTGGTATTCAATACAAGTTTCTTCAGTGCTGATATTTGTTTGCACATGAACAATAATTACAAACAGAAGTTTTCTTTGTGTGTTTAGTGTAAACAAGGACTGAAACATTATGGAAGGTCATTGCATCTCCCCAATGGAGAGGCAGAATGTAAATTAATTGTATTCCTCCAAAATGCACATGCATTCACATGCCTAAGGTTAATCAGCCTGTGATAGCACGAGGAGGTGGTGGTTTGAGAGGTGATTCTACCCAACAGTGCTACTTTTACATGTGACAGCCCATCTAAGAACCATGAAGTGTTTTTAGCAGGTCAGGAACCTGCCAGTCCCTCTGTCATGGACTACCACAAACTGAGAAACAACTTCTGCTGTTTATAAGCCAAGAGGTCCATAGTATTTTATTACAGCAGCCTGGAGGGATTACATATTGGTGAAGCTATGCTATACCTTTGGTGTGGGAGGTCCTTCTGTCTATGTGTTGCTTTCATTAATGAATAAAGAAATTGCCTTGGCCTGTTGATAAGGCAGAACTTAGGTAGGCGGGGAAGATGGAACTGAATTCTGGGAGGAAGAAAGCAGAGTCAGGGGGATGCCATGGAGCCACTGGAGACAGATGCAGAACTTTGCTGGTAAGCCACAGCCTCGTGGTGATACACAGGTTAATAGAAATGGGCTAAATTAAGATGTAAGAATTAGCCAATGAGAAGCTAGAGCTAATGGTCCAAGCTGTGATTTAATGAATACAGTTTCTGTGTGATTATTTCGGATCTAAGCTAGCTGGGCAGCTGGGACGAACAAGCAGGCCCCCTTCTCCTACATACCTTTCAGACCAAGCCATTGGACATCAGCTGTTAAAGTCCTTAGAGGGACCTCAGTTAGTGTCACATGGAACTGAATGGTTGTGTAGCTGCCCTGCCCCAAGTCCCAGCCTGCAAAGCTGGGAGGGATAAGAAAATGTTTCAATGGGCTGGAGAGATGACTCAGTGGTTAAGAGCATTGCCTGCCCTTCCAAAGCTCCTGAGTTCAATTCCCGGCAACCATATGGTGGTTCACAACCACCTGTAATGAGGTCTGGTGCCCTCTTCTGGCCTGCAGACATACACACAGACAGAATATTGTATACATAATAAATAAATAAATATTAAAAAAAAGAAAATGTTTTAAGCTGTAGTTTAGGACCAGCTTCTCATGAAGCCCTTGATAACTGAGACAAGAGCTTACTCTGGGGTAGAGCAGGGAACACCCAGTGAATAGCAGAGTGTTGAGCAAGATCAGCAACTGGAAACAGTTATGTGATGAATCTTCTGAGAAGCAAGTATTTGACAACAATAAGCACCCCAACTTATCTCCAGGGAGCATTCCCACACCCCTTCTTCCTAATGGAACAGACTGATGAGGGTCTGAAGTTAGAATCCTATTTTGTTTTGATTGTTACATCTGAAATCTTAAAAATATTCTATTTAGCAATAGCAAGGAATACAGGTGTAATGAAAAATTAAAATTGGGGCCAGAGAGATAGTTCTAGGTTCAGAGTGTATCCTGTTCTTGCAGAGGACCAGAGTTCGGTTTCCAGGATGTTCTATATGCTATGCTCTATGCCTGAGTCAGACTCTTCACCATCACTTCCCAGTTTGTCTCAATCCCCTTGTTTAACTTGAACCCCAAAGAGGTTATGAGTGTTAGATAAGGTTGTCTTTCCATGTAAAGTACTCACAACCACACCTAGACTCAGCGCTTAGAAAGGGCCACTTCCACATTAGTCCCTTGTGCCCCACTCTGGCATTTAACGACTAGCCACTGCACAGGGTAGAAAGAAGGAAAAAATGTGAAGGCACGGAGTAACCATTGCTTCAGAAGCTCCAACAGTCTCAGTCTCAGGTGGTGACCTAGTTAGAGGATGAGACATCAGGGTGGGGACTGCTTGGATGCTGTTATGAGAGCTGCTCAAAGGTTGGTGCCTCAGGCCATGGGGAAATAGTTGGGTTAACAATTACCTTGACAAGTCTCTTACTTGTCTTTGTGAGGCTAGAACAGAATTCCTGAGACCAGGTTAATTATAAAGAACCCAGATCTTATTTCTTACAGCTCCAGAGGTTAAGAAGTCCACGGTCAAGTTGTGTCAAATAACCCTCTTTCCCGGTCATCCCAAAACAAGGTAGAAGGAAAGGAAAGAGAGGGGGCAGGTGGGATTGGAAAAGCAGTGTCAAGCTTCTTTGAGTAGAACCAGTTTCCGTGGTAACCAAGCCACTCCCTTTTATCTCTGAGGGCAGAGCCTTCATGTCCTAAGCATCTCTTATCAGTGCCCTCTCTCGACAATATGCATGGACTTAGACCCTGGGGAACACATTCAAGCCTTAGCATCACTGTCTGATTTTACGAAGGCAAAGGAGCAATAACAGATTTGAAAACTCCTTTGACCAGACTAGAATAACAACTTCCGTTTCCTCTCCGTCCCTGGTCACATTGGCAAAGCACAGGACCAGAGGGACACCTCTGGCAGCTTCTTCCTCACTCATCCAGGACCCACTGTCTACACCTTCCTCATGCATATCAATTACAAGTGCGGAGCTGGCTGAACAGAACTGGGTCCTTCAGGATGGGCCCCGAATGGTTGTGAGGACGCTCTGAAGCTTAACTGTTCAGGTCAGGAGGCCATGGACACTGATAAGTCTTCATCCTCTTACATGGCTTAAGTTTCTAGAAAGAAGATCTTGAGACTGGGTAATTCATGAAGACAACCCCATAATCCCCATATGCCCCATTTGAGGAACAGTTCATCCGTCTCTCTCTCTCTCTCTCTCTCTCTCACACACACACACACACACACGCGCACACACACACACATTCACATCTAATACACATGTGTGGACACTTGTGCAGGTAGCAGCGCCCATGTGAAGATCAGACTGTAACTTGTAGGAGTCCATTCTTCCACTGTGTGGGTTCTGGAGATTGAACACAGGTGGCCAGTCTCAGAGGCAGTCACCTTTCCATACTGGTCATCTCAGCAGTCATTTTTTAATCCAACATAATTTACTGAGTATCTAGTAGTCAATAAGTTTCAAGTTTGGAGCTGGACACAGCGAACAAAGCAGAACATGTCACTGTCCTCGGTGAGATGAAAATTTAGGGACGAGCTGTGTATTATACAAGTGTAGTATAGGGGTGGCAGTTGACACAGGGAGAATCATAAGATATGGAAGGAGCTACAGAGGGTCCCTGGGGTCCCTAGTGGTGTGAATAGAGGACAGGCTTTGTGGTGAGGTGACCAAACGGAGTGGCTGCCTCTGTAGCTGCCTGCCGGGCTCCTCCCCACTGGGGATTCCACAAAAGGCTCTACTCTCTGTGAATGTAAATCCAGGGATGGGGGTCACGGCGAGGATTTTCTTTTCTGCTGTTCATCATACAGGAAAGAACATCTTATAGATTGGCTCAGAAGACACAGCGTTCTTTTCCAATCCCCTGCCTTGATTTACCTGTGGGTGACAGAGGCTTGGTTCTCCTTCAGGGAGTTTACCGTCGCTGGGCTGTAGGGACTGTAGGTACTCACAACACCAAACTTCAAACTCCAAGCAAGGGCAAGGGCTCCCGAGGCCCACGACTGAGTTCCCTGAATGAACTGGAAAGCCACTGTGCTAACTCACACCCTACTGGTGACATGACAGGCTCTGGGAACCAGAAGCAGCCTCAAAGGAGGGGTGAGGGGAAAAGGTGGTGGGGGTAGGTGGTGGATGGGAGGAGGGAGATGAAGTATCTATGGCTAGCAGACCAGAGGTAGCTCATTCTCACCTCCCTCCTCTGGAGCAGATGCTTCAGCTAAAGGCTGACCTGGGAAGTTGGCCACCTCCCTGGTGTTCCCGGAAGGATCTCAGTGTCCTGTCAGCAGCAGCCTCCCGTGCTGCCTGCAGCTCCTTTGCTTCTTCTGCCAGAGTCCCTGAGTCCCGGGTCCAGCCCCGCCTCCGGCGCGGTCTCTGGTGGCCCAGCTGAGGCTCCCTGGGGCAAGACTGAACAAAGGTTCAGGCCCGCCCTATTCCTCTCCCTGTGTGCCCCGGGAACGCGCCTGCCGGAACCGAGCACGTGCAGGACCGAGCGGCAGCGCGCGTGCGGGTAAGTGACTGCGGGTGCGAGCTGCGGGCTCCGCCTGTGCTCCTCTCCTCCCCCCACCCCCGCCCTTCGTGGCGTCCCGGCCTGGAGCAAGCTGTCAGCGCCCCTTTTCCTTGGGGACCCCCTTGCTTCCTACCGAAGTCGGCGATTGGGGGATAGTGGCTCCCTTTTCTTTCCAACAGCGGCAACTGCTCTGTCCTGCCCTGGTCCAATTCTACCCTGGTCTCCATCCCATCCTTGCCTCTTCCCTGCAAGCTCGTGGCCACTCAGGTAGTTCTGGAAGGTCAAGTGCAGCTGGTGCTCTCTGGCTCCCCCACCTCATCATTTCCCTACCGCATCCCCACGTATCCATCCTTTGTCTTCTGATCTCTGGTGTCTGGGAGGATTCAGGCGTGTGCATGTTTGGGAGGAAAAGCCAAAGGCAGGCAGAGGCGAGCTTAGGTAAGGCCTGGCCTTGGGTAACTGAAGCCAACCTCCACATTGAGACCCGTTAGCCTCAACCCGGAATGGGGGTTTGGGGAGGGGTCCTTCCCATCTGCACCTGTCAGGGAAAGACCTGGAGCAGCTCCAAGGCTTCACTGGAGCCAGAACAAAAAGCAGTCAGTCAGCCAGCTACCCAGTCACTGGGAGTCTGAATGGGACATGGAGCGAAGTGGAAGGATGTGTTGTATTGGGACAGCTGGGCCTGAGCTGTCACGCCCCAGGCAGAGTTGGGAGTTGAAGGAAAAAGGCTGAAAGGTTAGAGGAACAGCGTCTAGATGTACAATAAAATGAATCATCTTCAACACCTGTCACCCACAAGAACTTCTTACAAAGAAAAGCTTCCGGGAGCTGCGGGGCCCAGACTCCTGATTAGATCCGAGAGAGAAAATGATCCAGATGGCCTGCCCAGGTCCCTGGACTCCAGGCTGGCCTGCTCAGAGAGGATGCTCTATGCTCTCCACAGGACATGCTTGTTGAAATCCGGACACTCGCTCGAGAAGTCCCCTCTTTATGAGTCCCGGCAACCTGGTCTGCTCTTGAACACTGTGATCCCGCTGCCTCTCCCTGAGCGGAGTGGTGGCATTACAGGTGTGTGCGGCCAACCACATCTGCCTTTACTTTGAAAATTAATTAAAACTTTTTTTTTAAAAAAAAGCTATCATCTCCCTATGAAGGCCAGGCTGGACTCCTGTCTCAGCCTTTCTAGTTCTGAGTCCCCAGACTACAGGCTGGACACCACACCCGTCTCCCTCTGTCCCTTAAAGTCTTTCATTCTCTTCCACTCTGTCCTGGAGCCTTTGCTGCCTTTTCAAGCTCATGCCTATCCTCTGACCACCGTTTGTTTGTTTCACACACTACTGGTGAAAAGACATGTTTGTTTCTCAAGGCAACAGTTTTGTCTCCACCATAACTGACGTTGGCCTTTCCACGAACACTGTCTTTACCAAATGAACAATATGCAGCTAAATTAAAGAAGCTGACCAGGGGTCAGCAGAGCAGAGTGGTCAGAAGCACCTGCTATGGACTCGAGAGCTTCTTGGCTCAGTACGAATTCTCTGGGCAGACATTCAAGGTCGCCTAGGCAAAGCTACAGGGATTTGGACCTGCTGGGTGCTATTGCTCCTTGCTGCAAGGGGGAATGTGGCTTGCCAGGGATCTCAGAGGAAAGTCTGCTCTGGAGGAGAGGCTGACTGGAAGTGGGAAACAATTCTGATTGCGGCTCTTCACCAATCACTGCTAAATGGAAAGCCTGCCTGACCTAGGCCACAGCTGGGGCTGGTCGAGAAGTACCCTCAGTCACAGGCATGATGGGGAGGAAGGTGGTATTGGCCCTTTCATGCTTGGGAGAGTATTTGTGCTTGGTCTGGACATGGTGCCAGAGGGTTCATGGGTTTTTTTGTTTTGTTTTGTTTTGGTTTTTTTTTGCCGTAATTTGTGATCACAGTAGCCTCAGTTCATGTGGATACCCCGTGACCCTGTTCACGACCAGCAGGGGAATGTGAGCCCAGCTCTTAGAAGTACCAGGCTATAGTGCAGGGTTTGCTTTACGTGCGTCTGTTCGTCAAAATCTTCAGAAAATTACTTAACATTTGTGAACTTCAGTTTCCACATCTGCAATATGTGTAAAATGTTTGCTTCAGGGAGTTTGCTTTGGAGAATAAATGAGGAAACAAAAAGCATCCCGCTCAGCACCTGGCAGAGAGCAGGAACCCAACGTAGGTTGACCCTGTTCTTTATTTGCTGCATTTGATGCCGTGGTCTCTTCCCAAGACCTCCAGGCCTGCTGGGGAAAGACCAGAAGAAGAACCCGCTTCCCACCTTTGGGAAACAGAGACAGGAGACCAGAGAGTGCAATGCCAGCCTCAAACATTTTCTTTTGAAACAAATGAAGCAAGAAACAAGAGGAGAAGGAAGAAGAAGCTAAGTAGGAAGTGGGAAAGAACGGGGTCCCCTAAAACACAAGACCAAGTGTGCCCAAGGCTGGAACACACCCACTGGTGTGGTGTGATGTGGTGTGATGTGGTGTGGTGTGATGTGGTGTGGTGTGGTGTGGTGTGGTGTGGTGTGGTGTGATGTGATGTGGTATGGTGTGGTGTGGTGTGGTGTGGTGGCGATTCCTCATGCAACCATCGCCACCTTAGCTGTTCCTGTCAAGGTTCCTTGGTCCCCAAGAGTCAGTGACCTTAGGTAGCCAAATTCTGCACTAACTCTGAATGTTGTCTTGCTTTCTTCTTTTCCAAGAAGTTCTGCTCCGTCCTTAACCACATCCGCACGGAGTGCCTATGCTCTCATCTGCCTTGGCGGGGAAATCAGCCAGCCAGGCAGGTGAAGAAAAGTTCACTACTGTCATTTTTAAGCTCTGGGCCAGTGTGCAGGAGCTGACACACCTGTGAAGCTCAGTGGTTTTTATTTGCATGGCCCTGAGTCTACTGTCACAGACTTCCAAGGTGGAGCATTACGGGAAATTGAATTTAAAGTCTGACTTTAGTTGAGACTTGACTGTGTTTTGTGCATTGAGCGTTCTAGATCAGTGGTTCTCAGTCTTCTGTTAGAAGTTAACCTGTAAGCCCCAGCTGCCCAAGGATCAGGTGACGTTCTGGGATTCTGGGAATTGGAGTTTTTAGAAAATAACATCAAAGCCTCATGGGAACGGACAGTGGCCTATGGGTTTTGACAATATAAGCTCTGCCAACACGCGTCTTGGGGCCACTTACCTGGAACATTTCCAGGTGATGGTCCTGACCAAGTTCCATCTTGGTCGATATTTAAAATTTTAGTAAAAGCTTGCTTAAATTCTGCCAAAACAGTAGAACTATTTTTCTTGGCGAATTTCAAGATAAACACTTCCTAATGCTGGAACCCTTTAACACAGTCCCTTGTGTTGTGGTGACCCCAACCGTAGAATAATTTTTGTCACTACTTCATAACTCTAATTTTGCTACTGTTATGAATCATAATGTAACTACCTGATATGCAGCCCACAAAGTGGCCAAGACCCACAGGTTCCTTTGCTTATGAACACCTGGGCATGTCAGGTCTTTGTTGACTAGTCAGTTACCTCAGGTGATTGAGATGATGATGGTGGTGGCGATGTGGTACCACCTAATGGCACAACATAAACTTGAACGTGTTAAATTTCTAGCCTGTATTTTGGCTGATGCCTCTGTTTATAGCAAAAGTTTTCAGGTTAGGCATGATGACACACACCTGTAGTCTCAACATTTGGGAGGCAGAGCCATGAGGATGGTGAATTTGGGGCCAGTCTGCTGAACATTTTGAGACCCTGTCTCAAAAATCATTAAGAACAACAACAAAACTCCCCTAACTGGTCATGGTAGCTCCTGCCTGTGATGTCAGCTCTGGGAGGGGCAGAGGCAAGAGGATTGCTGTGAGTTTGAGGCACGTTCCAAGCTAAGCTGGATTTCAGTGTGAGACCCTGTTTCACAAAACAAGGAAGCTAGAGAGATGGCCCAGTGGTTAAGAGTGCCCAGTGTTCTTCCATAAGACCTGGCTTGGTTCTGAGGCCCCACACCAGCTGACTCACAGCTGCCTGAAGCTCCCACTCTAGGGAAGCTGAAGGCTTGTCATGGCTTCCAAGGCCTTCTGTACTCACGTGGTGTACACACACATCTCATTTAAAAACTACATTTTAAAAACTACAACAATGATAGCAAACAAAAAATCCTAGATATAAAGAAAACAACTGGCTAGAAAAGTAGCTCTTCTAAAGGAGCTGGGTTCCAGCCCCAGTACCCACATAGCTGCTCAAAACCTTTGGTAACTACAGTTCTAGGGTACCCAACCCCGTCTTCTAGCCTTGCTGGGTACAAACATGGTGCACAGTCATGCAGGGGAAAAACCCATACCCATAAATTAAAAAGCAAACAATAGAAAAAGCCAACAGCTTCTTGTAAAAGAGAGAAATGTTTTTAAAGGCTTGTAACAAAATAACAGATGTTCGCTTTCCTTTGTATTGAGATAATGCAACCTATATTTATACTGAGATTCAATTTCTCACCTCCAGGACAGACAAAGATTCTAAAGTTTGAGGCTATCATTGCTAATACAGACATGGTAACATTTTAGCAGGTCTCTGTAAAAGCAGGTACATTGTTACTTGGACTGCAGAAGGAAAGAAGGTCCGGAGCCACAAGGGTACCTACCCATTGACGAGCAGTCTCTTTCCTAGGTCTCTAACCTCTCAATCCAATCATCTACTTATGAAGGAATATTTAGTGGTATTTCGTTTGGTTATTTGCGTTTTGATACAGTTTCTCTATAGTCTAGACTGGCCTGGAACTCACTATTAGCCCAGGCTAGCCTCAAACTCATGACAATCCTCCCATTTTAGCCTTCATAGTACTGGGATTGTAGTATTGAGCCACCACATCTGGGTAGCAGTAATTTTAAAATAGCAGAAATTGGAAAAAATACAACTGATGAACCATATATGACAGGGCCTGTAAGCAGCCACACACTCAGGAAAGGAGTGGTAAGCAACTATAAGCCAGAAGGTGCTC